CCCAAGACGGCACAAGAAGCCTTCGAGACACCCCAAGACAGGCCCTAGAGTCTTTCTAAGAGGGCCCTGGAGAGATCAACATCATGTGTGGTTCATGATTTGTTCAATGTGTTGGGGGTGCTCCACTTTTCTAGGTTCCGACGCTCCAAGACGGCCACAGAGGCCCCCAAGACCGCCACGAGACAGCCCGGGAGGCCCCCAGGAGGGCCCCAAGACGGCCCAAGAGGGCCCCAAGACGGCCCAAGAAGCGCCTCAGACGGCCCAAGAGGGCCCCAAGACGGCCCCAAGAGGCCCCCAAGAGGGGGAACACGAATCGAAAATCCGAACTTTCCGCCCCAAGAGGCGTCCAGGAGGCCACAAGAGGCCCCCAAGAAGCCCCAAGAGGCCCCCACTGGGCCCCCACCAATCCCCAAGAGGCCCCTAAGAGGCCCCCAAGAGGCCCAAAAGAGGCCCCAAAACAGCCCCCGAGAGGCTTCGAAAATGCCTCCAGGAGGCTCCGAGAGGCCTCGACGAGAGTCCAATGACCATCCAAGAGGCCTCAGACCCACAACGCAAGCACGGTGGCGGGATGGGCCGAAGGCCGTTCGATCCGCCGCCCCTTGTCGGCTTGCCACAAGGGTGCTTGGTTGTTGGTTCTGGAAGGTTTTCGGTGCTTGACGTGCTGGACGTTCTGAAAGGCTCTGGTTCTAGAATTCCCCACGGGCCTTCGGCATAGCGCGCCAGCCATCCAGAAAACTGCTCCAGAGGTGGTTGCCAAGGTTCTTCCTGATCCAGATGTCTCCAAGATGGTCCACGATGGCCTCCAAGACGGCCAAGTTCGCCCAAGATGGTCAAAGATGGCCTCAGAGACGGCAAACTAGAGCTCAAGATGCCTCCAAGTTCGCCCAAGAATCCTCCAAGACGGCCAAAGACGGCCCCAGAGGCCTCCAGGAGGCCTCGAAGACGGCCAAAGAAGCCTCCAACAGAGAGGTTCTCCAAGAGGGCCCGGCGAGGCCCAAATCATTGATTTCACTTGGTATTTTCCCCAAACATCCTGTGGTGTTGGGTCTTCGTTTTGAAAAGACGATCCGCGCGTTCTTCCTCCCTCCATTCCTTCCTCCCCCTCCTCCCTCCTCCCTGCGTTGCACCCACCCAGTACAACGTTTCGTGGCCCCATAGGGAACTCCACCGAAGCCCCCACTGGGACCGACCGCATGCGTCCAGGAAGCCCACTTTAGCATCTTCACCCACCCAGAACAGCGCTTCGTGGCCCCAAAGGGAGCTCCACCGAAGCCCCGAGTAGGACCGCCCGCATGCGTCCCGGAAACCCAAGTTGGCACGCTTCGTGGCCCCATAGGGAGCTCCACCGAAGCCCCCGGTAGGACCGTCTGCATGCGTGCCGGAAACCCAATTGGGCAGTTTCACCCACCCACTACAGCGCTTCGTGGCCCCATAGGGAGCTCCACCGAAGCCCCCACTGGGACCGACCGCATGAACTCCGAAAGCCCAATGTGGCATGTTCGCCCACCCAGCACAGCGCTTCGTGGCCCCATAGGGAACTCCACCGAAGCCCCCAGTGCCACCGTCCGCATGCGCTGCGAAGCCCCAATTCTCCAGTGTTACCGCCCGCATGCGTTCCCCCCCACCCAGTACAGCGCTTCGTGGCCCCATAGGGAGCTTCGACGAAGCAGATATTCACAATTGCGGTACCCACAACTGCATATGGTTGGGTCCTTCGCCAGGATAAGTTTGAAAGATGTTGACATTAGCATCTTTTCTGCTTTCCGGAGGCCCAAGACGGCCCAAGAGGCCCCCTAGATCGCCCCCAGAGCGCCCGAGAGGCCTCCAAGATGGCCCGATAACGCCCCAAGAAGCCCCCAAGACGGCCCTAAGAGGGCCCCAAGACGGCCCAAGAGGCCTCCAAGACGCCTATGCAAGCCTCCAAGACGGCCCTGGAAGCCCTGTGAAGGCCCAAAGACGGCCGAGAGAGGCTCCCAAGACAGCTTCCGACAGTGTCAGACAGGCCAGGGACGAACGCCCTAAGACGGCCCAAGAGGCCCGCAAGAAGCTCCCAAATGCCCCCAAGAGGCCTAAAGAGGCCTCCAAGAGGCCTAGCCCCAGGGAGCTCCCAGGAGCCCCCAAGAATGCCCCAATTGGCTCCCAAGAAGCCTCCTACTCCTCCTCCTCCTTGTTCCTTCCTCTCCTCCTCTCCTCCTCCTCCTCCTCCTCCTCCTCCTCCTCCTCCTCCTCTTCCTCCTCCTCCTTCGCCTCCTCCTCCTCCTTATTCTCCTTATCAGAAGTATTCCCCTTCTTATTATCATTATTGATATTAGCATTATTAGTTGTATTAGTATCGTTCGTCTTCTCAGTCTTACTATTATTAGTATTATTCATGATATTATTAGTAATGTTATTACTATGATATGTAATAGTTGACTCGTGTTCCTTCAAATTCTTCTAGCTAATATTATTAGTAGTCTTATTATGATGTGTAGTAGTACTGCGAGTAGTATTATTACGACTAGTAACTACGAGTATTATTAGTAATAACACTACTCATCTTATTACTCCGTTTTTCTGGTTGGTAAAATGAACTTGATTACTATTATCACTATTCGTGTTGGAAATATTATTATCAGTATTATCATCATTATTATTATTATTCCCAACCCTCCTTGGTTGGGTATTCGTTTTGAATAGAGCAGTGTGGTCGCGTCCCTTCTCCCTTCTCCCGCCTCCCGCCTCCCGCCTCTTCTTGTCTTGCCTGCGGGGGGCTGCGATCTGTGAAACTGTCGCCACTTTCGAGGCCTGCTGGGGGGTCCGCATAGAGGGTAACCGCGGCAGATTCAAATTAGACCTCGCCATCCCTGGGGGGCTGCGATCTGTGAAACTGTCGCCACTTTCGAGGCCTGCTGGGGGGTCCTGCATAGAGGGTAACCGCGGCAGATCCAAATTAGACCTCGCCATCCCTGGGGGGCTGCGATCTGTGAAACTGTCGCCACTTTCGAGGCCTGCTGGGGGGTCCTGCATAGAGGGTAACCGCGGCAGATCCAAATTAGACCTCGCCATCCCTGGGGGGCTGCGATCTGTGAAACTGTCGCCACTTTCGAGGCCTGCTGGGGGGTCCTGCATAGAGGGTAACCGCGGCAGATCCAAATTAGACCTCGCCATCCCTGGGGTGCTGCGATCTGTGAAACTGTCGCCACTTTCGAGGCCTGCTGGGGGGTCCTGCATAGAGGGTAATCGCGGCAGATTCGAATTAGACCTCGCCATCCCTGGGGGCTGCGATCTGTGAAACTGTCGCCAGTTTCGAGGCCTGCTGGGGGGTCCAGCATAGAGGGTAATCGCGGCAGATCCAAATTAGACCTCGCCCTCCCTGGGGGGCTGCGATCTGTGAAACTGTCGCCACTTTCGAGGCCTGCTGGGGGGTCCAGCATAGAGGGTACGCGGCAGATTCAAATTAGACCTCGCCATCCCTGGGGGGCTGCGATCTGCGAAACTGTCGCCATTTTCGAGGCCTGCTGGGGGGCCAGCACAGTGAGGGCCACGCGCGGATTCAAATTAGACCTCGCCATCCCTGGGGGGCTGCGATCTGCGAAACTGTCGCCATTTTCGAGGCCTGCTGGGGGGCCCAGCACAGTGAGGGCCACGGGCGGATTCAAATTAGACCTCGCCATCCCTGGGGGGCTGCGATCTGCGAAACTGTCGCCATTTTCGAGGCCTGCTGGGGGGCCCAGCACAGTGAGGGCCACGGGCGGATTCAAATTAGACCTCGCCATCCCTGGGGGGCTGCGATCTGCGAAACTGTCGCCATTTTCGAGGCCGGCCTGCTGGGGGGCCCAGCACAGTGAGGGCCACGCGCGGATTCAAATTAGACCTCGCCATCCCTGGGGGGCTGCGATCTGCGAAACTGTCGCCATTTTCGAGGCTTGCTGGGGGGCCCAGCACAGTGAGGGCCACGCGCGGATTCAAATTAGACCTCGCCATCCCTGGGGGGCTGCGATCTGCGAAACTGTCGCCATTTTCGAGGCCTGCTGGGGGGCCCAGCACAGTGAGGGCCACGCGCGGATTCAAATTAGACCTCGCCATCCCTGGGGGGCTGCGATCTGCGAAACTGTCGCCATTTTCGAGGCCTGCTGGGGGCCCAGCACAGTGAGGGCCACGCGCGGATTCAAATTAGACCTCGCCATCCCTGGGGGGCTGCGATCTGCGAAACTGTCGCCATTTTCGAGGCCTGCTGGGGGGCCCAGCACAGTGAGGGCCACGCGCAGATTCAAATTAGACCTCGCCATCCCTGGGGGGCTGCGATCTGCGAAACTGTCGCCATTTTCGAGGCCTGCTGTGATCCCCGTTTTCGAAGTGGCTAGGAGTGCTCAGGAATTGTAAATCATCAGCTTTATCAAGCCCTTTTCCTGTAGCCAGTGTCCTGCGAGTCTCCCGAATTCCGTCTGCAGACATATGTAACCCTTTGGCTTCGCCAAGGGCTATGAAGGGACGCGTGGATATTTTTTCCTTCTCACATTTCATTTTAGTGGTCTCGTGCCGAACAACGACAGATCTTATTGAACTGATCTGCTCAACAAAAAAACAAACGCGCGCAAAATCCACTGCGGATGCCCTCAGAGGAAAACGAACAATGGAACGCTGCATAAGCAGCGCCGGCGCCCCGCCCGCAGTCCAACTGCAGACAAAACCACAAATGATCAGCCCGCCGGAAAGTTCACGAGCATTGCGGCGGGGGCGGTCATACATCGAGCGAGGGCAGCGGAATTATAGCCGTCTGATGGAGCTCAGCCAAGGGCTACAAACATACAACCGCAAACTGGAGGCAAAGAAACAAGAGCAGTGCGAAAGGAGGTCACTGCGAAACCAGACAAATGTCTCCAGGAAGGGGAATGCCTGCCAACGCGCCGCTTGCACTTGTTAGTCATGCTGGCCCGCGGTAAACCCCAGCGGCAACGCCCAGGCGCCAACAATAACACCTAGACGCCCGGTGAAGTCATTGACGCGTTGCTCAAATCCTCGCGAGCCAATCCATGAACAACCACAAGGCGAGTCGCCCTGATCAAGGCCGGGTAATCGGGCAAGCGGCGAAAATAGCGAGCCGCATCCGTATTCGCGGATGATGAGGTGCAGGAAACGGAGCAAAGGTGAGGAGGGCGGAAAATGAACAGCATAATGAACACGGTGAAAAGAGGGAGCATGGCGATAGGAAGGACTGGAAACGTGCAAGAGCATGAGCAGGTAGGAACACGGAAGAGGAGCTCGGAGGGGGTAGGAAGAAGCACAGGAAGCCTGAGGGAGGCAAAAGGCGCACCAGTGATCCGCGCGGAACGCGCGTGCGCGGCGCGCCCTCACCAGCGAGGGTGTAGGACGAGGCGGGAGGATCAAGGAGCAGGAGGAAGTAGGAGGAAATAGGAGGGGCAAGAACATGCAGAAGAAAGCATTTGCAGACTCGAATCCCAAGCAAGTTGCGCTAAGCATGAAAGCGAAGTGAAGCAACAGGCAGCGCCAGAAAAACATGATGGACCCACGAACCCGGAAAGGGATATAGACATGTGCAGCATGGTCACGTTTTCACGATATCCAACTGGGCGACACCTCGCGAAACATCCCACGAGACACACCGCGAAACATCCCAGGAGACACCTCACGAAACAACCCACGAGACACCTCACGAAACATTCCACGAGACACCCCGTGAAACATTCCACGATACACCCCACGAACAGGCAACCACTCAACCAGAAACGACGAAACATTCCACGGGGGTGCGACTGGGTGTGGTCGTGCTGGGGTGTGGTCGTGCTGGAGTATGGTCGTGTTGGGGTGTGGTCGTGCTGGGGTGTGGTCGTGCTGGGGGGTGGTCGTGCTGGGGGGTGGTCGTGCTAGGGGGTGGTCGTGCTGGGGGGTGGTCGTGCTGGGGCGTGGTCGTGCTGGGGCGTGGTCGTGCTGGGGCGTGGTCGTGCTGGGGTGTGGTCGTGATGTGGCGAGGTCGTGCTGGGGTGCGGTCGTGCTGGGGTGTGGTCTTGCTGGGGTGGGGTCGTGCTGGGGTGTGGTCGTGCTGGGGTGAGGTCGTGCTGGGGGGTGGTCGTGCTGTGGTGGGGTCGTGCTGGGGTGGGGTCGTGCTGGGGTGTGGTCGCGCTGGGGTGTGGTCGTGCTGGGGTGTGGTCGTGCTAGGGTGGGGTCGTGCTGGGGTGGTCGTGCTGGGGTGTGGTCGTGATGGGGTGTGGTCGTGCCTGTGATTTATCGATCGGGTCGTGCTGGGGTGTGCGTCTGGGGTGTGGTCGTGCTGGGGTGTGGTCGTGCTGGGGTGTGGTCGTGCTGGGGTGTGGTCGTGCTGCGGTCGTGCTGGGGCGCGGTCGTGCTGGGGCGCGGTCGTGCTGGGGCGTGGTCGTGATGGGATGCGGTCGTGCTGAGGTGGCCCGCGCCCTGTGATTTATCGATCGGGATTTCAAAAACAAACGTTTCGCCTGAGACATCCTCAAATGTTGATCCGCCGGCCTCATTCGACCTCGATATTTATCAGGGAAAGAATCCGCCGGCCTCCTTCAAGTTGGCCACGGGGGGATATGTTTACATAGGAAAAGAGAACCCTGGGCCGATGCCCTTTCCGGGAAAAAACGAGGACAACCGTTACATTAGGGAAGAGAAAAAGGCGCAGGAGTAATTAATCGGAAGATGCGCAGGAACGGGAAGGGAGCAGAAAAGGGAGGAGGTCACAGAAGAGGGACGAGGAGGAGGAGGAGGACAAGGAAGGGAAAGATAAAGGATAGAGAGGAAAAAAACACGCTGACGACGACGGGCATCAATCATCGAGGATCTCGAGTCGTTCGCTTTAGGTGCCTGCGGGACGCACCATCAACGTCGTCATATCGGTGCCGCCGCGGCGCTCTCTTAGGGCAATTCTGGCTGCCTTTGGCGGCTGTCTTGGAGCCCCTTGGGGCCCTCTTCGGGTCGTTTCGGGGATCTCCTGGGCCCCTCTTGGAAGCCTCGGGGGTCCTCCTGGGGCCATCTTGAAGCCGTCGGTCAAAGAAGTGGGGCCCTAGCAACGCCCCATTCCTTCTCGAGCCCCCCAGTCGCCAAATGCGGCCCTCTTGCGACGCCCTTGAAGCGTTTTGGGCCGCTCTTTGGTGCTCTTGGAGCCGACTTGGGCCCTGATGGCCCCCTCTCGAAGCAAGTTCAAACCAACTCGCAGCCATCTCGAGGCCTCTAGAAACTACGGAAAGCAAAAAGGCGAGAAGGAAACAATTGAAGCGCACAGTGATTGTAAAGGAGTTGAACCTGTTGGAAGCCTCCTTCAAGAGCTCGAAAGACAATTGTGGGCTGTCACGAAGCGGTCTTGAGGGGGCTTGGAGGCACATTGGAAGCAAAAGTGCACCATCTGCAAGTATATGGAGCGATCTCGGAATCCTTCTTGGGTTGCCTGCGGTTCCTTTGGAGCCATCTTCGGCCATTTCGGGCGCTCCACCGCCCCGCGGCCACTCTCTGTCCACGCCCGGGGACGAGAGGGCAGGGGGGGGGCCCCCGTCCCTGCCAGGGAGAAACGCGCGGATAAGCTAGCCCGTTAAACCACCACCCACGCCCTGCATGGCTGGTGGGATTTTTCCACGGCCGCCTGGGAATACTACCCCGGATTCTCGAGTGAATTCTGCCCGGATTTTTCCAAATCCAAATGTGAATTTGCCCCGGAAACCGCGTGAATTTTTCCGGGTGCCCTCCGGATTTTTCCGCGCGTGTTTTTTCGATGCGCGCGCCCACGGAAAAATCCACCAAGAATTCGGAGAGGTATTCAAAACGAGTTTTTGTTTTTCTCCCCGCAGTTTTCACTAGGCCGCGCGCGGAGCCTGGAAGGAGGGATGGGGGGGGGGGGAAAGTAGCCAGGAGCGGGGGGGCACGCCGCAGGAGAGGGCCGGAGGGAGACAGGAATCCCAGCACCCCTTTAAGCGTGAGCGGCGTGACGAAGTAATTCATCCAAGCCCACTCTTCCCCTTCATGGACACGGTTCCCCATTTCCCCGCCCAATCCTTCATGCGCGGGAAGGTAGCCGCGGGTCGTTGGAGCGCCCAATACGGCCCAGAATGTATCCGAGATGGCTGCAAGGAGCCCAGATGCGCCTCCAATGTCGCTCAATGCATCCCAGGACGATTCCGAATAGCCTCCAACATGCCTCTGAGAGTCGCCAAGACCGTTTCAAGACGGCCCCGCGTGCCCTTCGAGCTCTCCAAGGAAGCCTCCAAGACAACATGATGGACCCACGAACCCGGAAAGGGATATAGACATGTGCAGCATGGTCACGTTTTCACGATATCCAACTGGGCGACACCTCACGAAACATCCCACGAGACACCCCGCGAAACATCCCAGGAGACACCTCACGAAACAACCCACGAGACACCTCACGAAACATTCCACGAGACACCCCGTGAAACATTCCACGAGACACCCCACGAACAGGCAACCACTCAACCAGACACCCCACGAAACATTCCACGGGGGTGCGACTGGGTGTGGTCGTGCTGGGGTGTGGTCGTGCTGGAGTATGGTCGTGTTGGGGTGTGTGTGCTGGGGTGCTGGGGGGTGGTCGTGCTGGGGGGTGGTCGTGCTGGGGGGTGGTCGTGCTGGGGCGTGGTCGTGCTGGGGCGTGGTCGTGCTGGGGTGGTCGTGGTCGTGCTGTGGTGAGGTCGTGCTGGGGTGTGGTCGTGCTGGGGTGTGGTCTTGCTGGGGTGGGTCGTGCTGGGGTGGGTCGTGCTGGGGTGTGGTCGTGCTGGGGTATGGTCGTGCTGGGGTGGGGTCGTGCTGGGTGGGGTCGTGCTGGGGTGTGGTCGTGCTGGGGTGTGGTCGTGCTGGGGTGTGGTCGTGCTAGGGTGGGGTCGTGCTGGGTGGGGTCGTGCTGGGGTGTGGTCGTGCTGGGGTGTGGTCGTGCTGGGGTGTGGTCGTGCTGGGGCGTGGTCGTGCTGGGGTGGGGTCGTGCTGGGGTGGGGTGGGGGTGTGGTCGTGCTGGGGTGGTCCGCACCCTGTGATTTATCGATCGGGTCGTGCTGGGGTGTGGTCGTGCTGGGGTGTGGTCGTGCTGGGGTGTGGTCGTGCTGGGGTGTGGTCGCGCTGGGGTGTGGTCGTGCTGGGGCGTGGTCGTGCTGGGGCGTGGTCGTGCTGGGGTGTGGTCGTGCTGGGATGTGGTCGTGCTGAAGTGGCCCGCACCCTGTGATTTATCGATCGGAATTTCAAAAACAAGCGTTTCGCCTGAGACATCCTCAAATGTTGATCCGCCGGCCTCATTCGACCTCGATATTTATGGGGGAAAGAATCCGCCGGCCTCGTTCAAGTTGGGCACGGGGGGATATGTTTACATAGGATAAGAGAACCCTGGGCCTATGCCCTTTCCGGGAAGAAAAAAAATGGAAACCATCGCGCGCTCTGTGTTATGTTTTGTCGCCTTTTCGTTTTCCATGGGCTCTTGAGGCCCCGAGATGGCCGCGCTGGCCTGAGATGGCCCCCCAGAAGAACCCGACAGGCCCCAAGACGGCGCCGAGAGCGCTCAAGAGCAGCCGAAGAACGTCCCAAGAGAGCGCCAAGAGGCGACGTGGGCGGCTCCAGAGAGGGGACGCTGCAAGGACCCCCCCCCGTACTCTTTGACTGACGGCGTTTCCAAGATGGCTCCGAGAGGGCCCCCAAGGCCTCCAAGACGGGCCCACGAGACCCCGAAGAGGATCCCAAGGAGGCCCGAAACAGCCTCAAGAGGACCCCGTAGGCTCTCCCAAAATGGCCCCAAATTAGCTCCACAATGGCCCACAAATCACCCCAAGGGGCTTCTAACAAGAGCCGCGTGCGAAAAACAAACAAAATCCTCCATGATTGATTCTGGCCGTCGTCGTGACTTTTTCCCTCCCATCCTTCCTTTTCCTACTCCTCGTCCTCAGCCCGCCCCTCCTCCGTTTCCTCGTCATCCTCCTCCTTGTCCTCCTTCCCCGCTGCTGTTAATCCTCCGGTTCCTCCTGCGCCGTCCTCACGTTTCTAACGTAAACAGCGTCGCCCTCTTGGTTGAGCACCATGCTGGCACA